GTCTTTTCTCGTCGTTGGAAATACCAGCAAGCGGTGTTGAAGAATTTTCAGAAGCGTTTCAAAGAGGAATACTTGCAATATCTGCGTTCAGCGCATATTCGTGATCCAGTCACACCGCGTTCGATAAAGGTCGGAGATATCTGTCTACTCAAAGACTCAGTCCCGTCGAGAGCTCATTGGCCCCTATGTCGAGTTCTGAGCCTTTCGGGGGGAGAGCGTACGGATCTACGGCAGCGGTCGTGTTTAATCAAGCTGGAAACAGGTCAAACGTTCAGTAGACCGATTCAGTTGCTCTACCCCCTGGAAGTTTAGCGAACAGATCGCGGTCGTACACGGGGGGGAGCAGATTACTAGTTAGAGAAAACGCGTCGGTCGCAAAAATATATATATATATATTATCAAAAAAAAAGCGGCGATCCAGTCGCCTTTGTTTCAATTTCTGCGGGGCAGACTCACGATAGCTTCGTACGCCTCCCGCTGGCGTCGGGCGAAATCGCTCTCCGGGCGGGTCCGGACTTGCTCGAGCCGAATCTCGGCGGCGAGAGCGCGGGTGCGCTCCCGCTCCAGCTCGAGTTCCGCCTCCTTGCGACGGTTTTCTCACGTTGGCGCCGGATCTGGGCGTCGAGCGCGGCCTGGGCTGCGAAGTGACCAGCCGGGCCGGCGAAGCTGGGGCCCGCCTCGGACTGGATCCGAGGCGCCGGGGTTCGGCGGCGTTGGGCGGCGGCGAGACGGATCCGGCGAAGGTGGGCGGCGCGGGCGCTTGGCGTGGGGCTGGGGGGACGGTCCGCGGGCGCTGGCAGACGTGTTCGGAGGACCTCGTCGACGCGGCGGAAGAGCTCGTCACTTGTGGGGGGGGGGACTGGATCCCGAGTCCCTCGGGCGCGGGCCCGTTTTTTTCGCGTCGACGTAGGGCTGCCGCTCGATATACGTCATCGAGTTCCACACGACACGGGCCGCGGCCCTCACGTCACCAACAGAGGCACCGTCGAACCTGGACCGCATCCCTACGGAGCGTACGAAGAGTCCCAAGGGGCTTCGGTCGAAGATACAGTCAGGCATGCTGAGCTCACAAAGGAACAGCGAGAAGTGACGAAAAATTGGAATCGGAATCGCGGGCTCGGCGCTGGGAAAGGATTAGCGGACCAATGGGGTTGCGGGCTCGGCACATTGCACATGTCGATTTCTCAACGGTCTCTTTAAAGCCATCTTCCACTTCGATGTCGAGTCTATGTCGCGCAGATCCAGTCTCAAACCTCTCAAATTCCGCCCGTCAAATGTTCTAGAACATCCAGTGTTTCCGGGAAAAATATTCAGCTCGAGCGTCTTGGCCGGTCTTTCAAATGTGCCGCATTGTTACTCGAGAGGCCAACGTCGCAGTGAATTAATTAATTGTGGACCAATATATCATTAGGAGTCGATCGGAATTTGGCCGGGAGTGTGGCGAATCCCCATAGATAGCTGAATCCGAGGGGTGTAATATCAATAAATGAAGGCCCGCGGAGAAGCTTTTCTGTTGCGATGGGAACGAAACGTCGAGCCCCTGCACGTCCCGTCGTCGGTTGCGACGCAGCGGTAGCGGCGGCGACCAGAAGAAACTTGCCGACGATCCTCGCAAGCGAGAACATCGTGCGAATCAGAGGCAACAGAAAAAGCGACTCCCGGGTATCCAGTGCCCAAGATCTCCTGAGTTTTCTTTGAGTAGGGTATCCCGGGCGGTGATCGCAACAGCTCCTGCTCTCGTTGACGAATTTACTGAGCATGTCTGCTATAGTTTTGTCCGAGCGTTCCGTCAACCCATTTGTTTGCGGGTGGTATGGGGTGGTTTTCCTATGTTCGATGTTGAATGCCTCATTGATAGTTTTGATCAGCTCTGAAGACCTTTCCTTGATCACTTATGAGTTCACTATTCTGGGTGCTCCGTACTTCAGTATGATGTCTCCCATCATGAAGCGAGCGACCTGTTCAGCTGAGCCATCCGGTAGAGCTTTGGTGATTAAAAATTTTGACAGGTGGCATATAGCTGTCACAATGACCCTGTTCCCTGATTCGGTCGCGTTGAAGGATAAGAGATCAATGCCGACTGTGTGGAAAATCCGATGGGGTGTTTCAATGTGTTGCAATAATCCAAACTTGATGGGGTCAGATTTCCTTTGTTGGCATTCTCGACAGGATCTAACGAAGCGATCCGCGTCGGCGAATGCTCTCGGCCAGAAGAACTTCTGCACAATTTTGCCATACGTCTTCGCGACACCTAGGCTTCTGATCTGAGGTTCTTGGGTAGGACCAGAAGATGATTGTCGCCTGTACGCGAGGAATTTCTTTTGTATAGGAGGCCACTGATAATCTCGAACGATGGTGATGTTTTCGCACAGATCTTCCAGAGTCGGGTCGCATTTCTGTTGTTCCGCTACCGACTGGAGTGAGAGGGCGGCTAATGAGGCGCTTGTATGGTCGTGATGGGCTGATGGATCCGAAGGGTCTGAACGAGCGTTGTTCTTGTTCTGATAAGGTTCCTTCGGATCTAGTTTCTGCTCCTTGGGTGTCCATCCCTCTGGGTATCGCGAGAGACAGTCCGCGTCCAAGTGTGTGCGGCCTTGCTTGTAAATCACCTTGATTTCATGTTCTTGGAGTTGCAGTGCCCATCTTGCGAGTCTCCCGGTCAGGTGCTTCGAGGTCATGAGCCAACACAGAGCGTGATGGTCCGTTATCACAGTGACGGGTCGTCCGTAGACGTACGGTCTCAGTTTCTTGAAGGCCCAGACGATTGCGAGTCCCTCCTGATCCGTGGTCGAGTACCGCGACTCGGCATCGGAAAGCGTTCGTGATGCGTACGCGATAACCCTTTCTTCCCCGTGGGTGTCGTTCTGAGCGAGAATGGCGCCTATTCCATATTTGCATGCGTCTGTTCTCAGAGTTACCGGGAGTCGGGTGTCGAAGTGACCCAGCAGCGGTGGGTTAATGAGTCGATTCTTCAAGGTCTCGAATGCCGTCTTGTGCTGCTGTGTCCATTCGAAGCTTGTGCCGTCCTTGAGGAGCATGTTGAGCGGCGCGGCGATTCTGGAGAAGCCTTCGATGTATTTGCGATAGTATGAACACAAACCGAGGAAGCTACGCACCGCTTTTTGAGTTGTCGGCTCCGGGAATGAGCTGATCGCGATCGTTTTCGCCTGGTCTGGTTTCACGCCGCAAGTTTCCCGAAGTGGTTTCCCGCACGGGCCAATGCCAACAGTGCGCTGCCCCGGCTGTTTGTGTACAAGCCGCGAGCAGTCATGCCTCTCTCCTTCCATTCTCTGTAGAGCTCCAAGCTTGATTTGGATCTCATCGATTCCGACCAAGTCTCGCTCAACCTCTCTTTGATACGTTCCTTCACCGTATCATTGAAAAGCGTGATCTACGCGCTCTGATCCTCCCGATATTCGAGGGGGATGTCCGAGCAGCCGAATCCTGTTTTCAGGAAATTGAGTCTCTTTATGGCATCCGAGTATATGTTGACTGCAGCCATCATCGATAGAACCATTCTGGGCCATCGTGATGAGTCCATTGCACTGATCCTTGCAAAATATCGGATTTTACTTTGTGCTTCTCGGGCCTCGAATGTGGACCACCCAAGTTCGCTAAGCACGGAGTCCGACGCTACTTTGTGTCCAGTTATTCCCATCGCCCATTTCCCCGCGTCTACCTGAGCTCTATCGAACAGGGCTGCGATTTGCTTAGATGCTCTCGATGCTAGCACAGCGATCGCATATGTCAGCCTAGGTACCCCCGTGGCCATCCATTGGATTCGTGTGATCTCGAATCTGTTCCGTTTATTATGTCGTAAGACATATCTCCAGAATCTCTTCGCCCTCTCACTCCGGGGTCCGTTCAGAATCTGTCTACTCAGATTCTCGGAACGTGTCTTTTCTTCCTCACTGACGGCCGCCTTCAGTTTGTTTTGCCTAGTTCGGAACTCTATCTCAGTCCGATCTATTTCATATTGGTCCCCATATTTCCTGGCTTTTCTCCACTTTCGATTCGCCTCTTTTTTTGCTTGGTATCTCTCGAACCGACGGGTGGTCGAGTGGTTAGCGCGTTTGTCACTACTCGTGCAAACGTGCATAGCCGCAACGACGCCGCTCGCGCGGGAGGCGGTGTGGGTTCGATCCCTGCTGCCGGAAAAATATGCAGGTACTCGGCCGTGATCCTCCTGGGTACATTTGCTCTATGGATCCGTCCTCGGAAGCAATGTGAATAACAGTACCCGGGACGTTAAACCTTGGCTGTGTGGATCAGCCCGAAAAAGTTTTTTTTTTATCTCTCGTATGGCCCTCGAGAAGCATATGTTCTCCTCTTTGGGTTTGATATCTCTAGAGCTTTTGCTAAAACTTATTTGTATAGCCTCTTTTATATCGTCAAACGTCGTCTTTCCGTAAGCATATGTTCTCCTCTTTGGGTTCGATATCTCTAGAGCTTTTGCTAATACTTATCTGTATAGCCTCTTTTATATCGTCATCGTCGCCCGTCTCCCATATGCCCGTCTCCCATACGCCCGTTTCCCATATGCCCGTTTCCCATATGCCCGTTTCCCATATGCCCGTCTCCCATATGCCCGTCTCCCATATGCCCGTCTCCCATATGCCCGTCTCCCAGACTCCAACCTCCCAAATACGTGTTCCTGCGGTCTCTGTGCAGTTCAGACAGGAGACTTGAACAATGAGTCGGACCTCACTACAGCGTCAAATTATTTCAATGAAGCCCTCAAGATTACTAGACGTCATCGAGTACGTCACACTGCGTTCAACTATGATGGATCTACTAGGACCGATACACGTTGAAGCCTACGGCTGGGACAAATTCCCTGCGGCTTATCTCATTCGTCTCGTACTCTGCGACGAACTTCATATATACTTCTGGTTCAGCCTCTCGTAGGTCTTATTCTTCCGTGGTGGATCCTGCCCCATTCGCAGGAGCAGCATCGCTGCCCTATACTTCTCTTCTTGTCCTTGTAGTCGTTTGACCATCTAGAATATATTCACATGTTTTTTCCTTATAAGTATATTCAGACCGTTATGCCATCCTTCAAGATGGTTCGTAGTCCGGGGTCCGAAGTTACGGTAATGGTTCCACAGCGCTCGCGGAAAGTTTTCGTTCTCGAGCCAGGTATTGACGAAATATTCTTTGAACGCTTCCAATGCCATGTACGCTGGATGGTCCGGATCTATCGCGTCCTCGTTCATATCCATCCAGGCATCATCAATTGCCCCTAGAGGAATCAGAGCCAGAGCGCCGCAAGCACGCAGGAAGCGTCTGATTTCAACGTCATGATAGAATCTACTGAGACCCAATTGTTGCGCCTTACGCCAAAGGCTCTGACCAAAATGAAAGTTACATTCCTTTATCTCTGCCGCGGGAAATATCCGCCTGATAGCTCCGAGGGCTGCGGGCTCGAAACCGAGTTGAAACGCTCGAGGATTGAAGACGAGATCAACAGAATTGGCGTAGTTCTTCAACAGAGCAAACATTCGGCAATAGGTCCCAATTTGCTTATCCGGTAACAAAAGAAGCAAACGGGATCATCTGGCCTCTATAAGAGGCGTGCAGAGTGTATGATTGTAAGAACAGTTCGGGCACAACTCGAAACGTGCTGTCCATGTAGAT